CACCGCCCGGGGCGGAGTCCCGCAGCTGCAGGAAGCAGCGCAGGCTGGCAGGGCTGTCCTCCAGGTAGGCCACCAACTCCTGCACAGCCGCCAGGTCCTCCTCGCTGTGGCACACGCATACGTCGTAGTCCCTGCTCCAGCGGCCGCTGCTGCTGCTGGCGGCGCCCCCATCACTGCTGCTGCTGGCCGCGCCCCCACCACTGCTGCTGCAGGAGGTGCTCTCCAGTGCAGGTGGCAGGGCAGCGGGAGACTCGGCCGATGCAGTGGAGCTGAGGTCCGGGGATGGGGGGTCATCCGAGCACCGTGGTGGAGCATCACTGGAGGTGGTTTCCTGGGACACAGGCATCTCCTTGGGCTTCTTGGACAGCGCCTGCCTGAGCCAACCTGCCGGAGAAACTCTGCTCAGGCCTAATTCTCACCAGGCCACCTCCTCCCAGCCATAGAGGGGAGATGGGGCCAGGAATCCCCCCCGGCCTTCCTGCACCTGCCCACCTTCCTGCATTGGCCAGTACTGCCTGACTCTCAGACCTACTGCCTGGCTATTCTACACATCCTCAGGACCTGCCCGAAGTTCCCACTATCCTACAAGTTTTCCACCCGGCTGGTGTGGCTCAGTGGTTGAGCGTGGACCTAATGAACCAGGAGGTCCTGCCTTGATTCCCAGTCAGGGCTCATGCTCAGATTGCAAGCTCCATCCCCAATAGGGGGTGTGCAGGAGGCACCTGATTAATGATTCTTTCTCATCATTGATGTTTCTATCCCTCCCTATCTCTCCCTTCCTCTCTGAGATCAATAAAAAGATACTTTAAAAAAAAAAGTTTTTGGGAAGACATAAGAACGCTGACTGTTTTATAAGTCCTACAGCAAGTGACTGTAGTTAATAATATTGCATTGCATATTTGAAAGTTGCTGAGAGAATGGATTTCAAAAGTGTCTACAATAGAAAATAAATTCTGTCTGTATGGTAACAGACCTTAACTAAATCTGTGCTGACCATTTGGCAATATATAAATACTGTATCATTTATACATCTGAAACAAATATAATGTTGTATGTCAATTATACCTAAATTTTAAAAAAAAGCCTTGATATAACAATATGAGGGGGGTGGGGGGAAAGAACCCTGGCGGTGTTACCAGCCTGATGGGGAAAGACGGCCGTGCCCTGCTCCAGGCCCTTGGGTGGGCCTACCCTACCCAGAACTTCTAGACTCGATCGGTGGACCATCTGCAAGTCTGTGAGTAGAGCTACGTGAAGCTAGAAGGATCAGCAAACCCCCAAACTCATTTTTAGCACTGAAGGGGGATCAGATCTGGAGGAAGGTGGGCCAGCCATTATGGAAGAAAAAGAGGGGGAGGGACTAGCATCTGTTTGGCCCCGAGCAACCCTAGGTTGTTGCTAAAAGGAAAAGGAAAGTATGGAAGAGGGCCACTGCTCAGAGCCCCAGGGGGCACAGAGCTTGGTGATTGGGGACCTACACTCTGGAGTCAAACAGAGATCTGAATGGACCTGCTGGCTTTCTACATGGCCTTAGGCAAGTCAGTCTACGTCTCCACTTCCTCATCTGTAAAATGGGTTCGTTTTAGTTGTTGAAGATTAACTGGGATCATGCAGTGTCTGGTATATTGTCAGTACTCCATAATGATTTCAGCTCAGCTCCCCAGCTTCTGGTAGGGACAGAAAGTTTGGTGTTCCGGAGATGGATGTGTTTTCTCTCTCTGCTTGGCCCCTTCCTCTGAATGATTCTGGAAGATTGAGATGACAAGAGACACACAAGGTGAGGCACTCAGCGCCATGGTTTTCGAGCTAGGAGAGTTAGCTGAGCCAGAAGGACTGAAGGTCCCAGGGATGCACGCCTCCTCTGTCCTCAGGCACCAAAACCAAGGCAGGAGCCCCCATCGTCAGCCTCCCTGCACCTCTCCCCTGGGTTGGGCCAGGCAGGCCCCCGCCTCACCACTAGGGATACTGAGGACCACTCACAGGAGCGAGAACAGCATTAGGAGTCTGCTTTCACTCACCAGCCATCTTGGCCAAAGGCTTCTTAGACCTGGAGCCAGAAGCCGGGAGGGGGGTGGATGAGGCCATAGTGTTAGGTTCGAAACTAACCCCATGAGACCAGGCATTGGTAACGTGGGAGAAGGGAGGAGACCCAGTCTTGACCTCATGGGACAGCCATCCTGCAAGAGACAGAGAGGGAGAGGGTCACGTACCTTACTCTCAGCCCCAGGGGGTGGGCTCTGATGATCTCTCTCTCCTGATGCCTGACAGAGTTTCAGTTTCGGTCCCTCAACCCACATGGGAGAGATGCCACTGTGATTGGGGCTGATGAGATAAACCCAAGTCTGTGTGGTGTGGTGAGACTCACAGATGGGTTCGGCATGACCAGCAGGGTCGGCTCTCCGCTCCACCCGGCCTGGAGGGCATCCGGCAGCTGGGGAAGGGCAGCCGGCAGGCAGCTCTTTACAGGGACGTCCGGTGTAAATGCTGAAATGGGAGAGGCACGATTGCTATGTGGACAAATCATTTTGTATCCAGGTAGGCAGATGCTGAGCAAAGAGAGGGAACACATGTAAGAAGCCTCAAGAAACTTTTCCTCTAAGTCGGCCTTCCCTTGGATAACTTCTTCCATCCACCCACCACCACTCCCTCTCTCCCTCCTTCTCACCAGCCCCTCCTCCCTCCCTCAGCTGTCAGCTCAGGGAAGCAAGGCCGCATAGTGAAGGAGACTGCAGCTTGTGCAGGCCCAGTGCCTGGGTTCTCACCTTTCATTAATTGTGGCCTTTGGCAATTATACCAGAACCTGCTTCTCAGCCTTGTTGTGAAGATTATGGGATAATTTATGTAAAGGACTAATGGTATATGGCACATTGTGCTCAGGAAACAGTGGGATAGTATGTATTTAAAATCACCTAGAGCCCTAACTGGTTTGGCTCAGTGGATAGAGCGTCGGCCTGCGGACTCAAGGGTCGCAGGTTCGATTCCGGTCAAGGGCATGTACCTTGGTTGTGGGCACATCCCCAGTAGGGAGTGTGCAGGAGGCAGCTGATCAATGTTTCTCTCTCATCGATGTTTCTAACTCTCTATCCCTCTCCCGTTCTCTCTGTAAAAAATCAATAAAATATAGTTTTAAAAAAATCATCTAGATGCTGGAGGGATATACTATGTTCATGGTTTAGAAGACTCAATAGTGTCATCAGTTTTTGCCAAACTAATATTTAGATCGATGCTGTCCCTCATTCCAGAAGGGTTGTGGTTTGGGGGGTGGGGTGGCGGCGAGATTGTCAAACTGCTTCTAAATGTACATGGAAATGCAAAGGATGGGCGACTTCCCATGTTCTCTTCCCACCGCAATGCCCAGGATGTCCCTGATGGCAGAGGTTTTCTCAGCCTAGGTTTCTGGGGGTGACTCCCTGTGGGGCAGAGCCTGCCTGGGTCCGAGCCAGAGCCAGAGATGGAGGGCTGGTGGAGCGCTTGACCCTACAGCTATGGAGCAACAGGAAGAGGGCTGCTTCCTCACCTCACTCTTTGCTGAATCTGCAAAGTCAAAACAAACTCTCTGGGAACTTTCATAGAAGAAACTTGGATTAGACACACTGAAGGAAGGGGTTTCAAAATGTAAAGGGCGGCATCCCACATTGGACAATAATGCTTTTCCACTGTTAAATGCTAAACACCCCTACGTGAAGCTGATGACTGTAAGATAAGAGGGACTGTTGATTCATGAAAATATACCAACGTTAAAAAAAAATAAAGAACTTAAAACTGCAGGAACAAGGGGGCAGGAAGAGAAGGTGGCATGGGTGCAGGAATCAGAGATATACTTGAAAGAGAAAAGCAGTTAGCTGCTAAGCCTGGCAAAAAGGACACAGACAGGTAAACATCTTTATGTGTTTCTTCCCCTGCTAACATTCTCTGGGTTTCAGACAGCCTCGTGCTGGGTTGACGCCTGATAACCACGGTCAGGTTTTGAAATCCTTTTCCTGCTTAGGGATTACTGTGTGTCGACATCTTCAGTTCAACCATCCAGTATATCCCTTTTCCCCCAGTAGTAAACGGTTGTCACTTGGTTTTTATAGTATTCGAGTATTTTTCAATTTTGTTTGATTTTTAAATGTGGTATTTGGCCGTCAAATACTTAAACTGGAGAATCATTTGCTATTTTAATGATAGCCTAAAGATTAAAAATTAATCGAATATTCTAATCTACTCAATAGATGTAGATTTAAAAGTTTCAGTTTTCCATTTTATAAAAGGACTTGCCCTTCCAGCTATACGTGCTGATTTGGAGTAATTGCCTTTTTTTATTGCTTGGTTAAGAAAAAGTCCAGCCCTAGCTGGTTTGGCTCAGTGGATAGAGTGTTGGCCTGTGGACTGAAGGGTCCCAGGTTCAATTCTGGTCAAGGGCATGTACCTTGGTTGTGGGCACATCCCCAGTAGGAGGTGTGCAGGAGGCAGCTGATTGATGTTTCTCTCTCACCGATGTTTCTCACTATCCCTCTCCCTCTCCCTTCCTCTCTGTAAAAAAAATGAATAAAATATATTTTTTTAAAAAGTAAAAGAAAAAGGAAAATCCAGTTGCCCAACAGCACAGGCCACTGGAAGTGGGTTGGTAGAAGCCCTGGTGACTAACATTATGGAAAAGTTTAAACACAGGAAACAACACCATCGTTGACAGAGGATAATTGGGCAAGACAGCAGGTTAAGTCCCATTAGCCACACACACTGGCTACTTCTTGGAGCCTAAAACCCCACAACATCTTCCTTGTTACTTTTCAGTTCTTGCACAGCTGAGGCTGTGGAGCTATTTATTACTCTCAAATATGCTTTAATCTTTACAAGATTTAGTAATAGCCACATACTGAGATTTGGGAGACATAGTTTCCAAGCAGAGAAGAAGATATTTTATGTACCCAACATAGGAGCATCTAAATATACAAAGCAAATCTTGATAGACATAAAGGGAGAGATTGACAGTGATAGAGTCACAGTAAGGGATTTCAACACCACATTGACATCAATGGATAGATCTTCCAGATAGAAAATCAACAAGGAAACCGAGACCTTAAATGACACATTAAACCGATGAGTTTAATTGATATTTTCTGAACATTTCACCCCAAAGAAGCAGAATATACACTCTTTCCAAGTGCACATGGAACATTTTCCAGGACAGACTAGATGTTAGGACACAAAACAAGTCTCAATAAATCTAAAAAGACTGAAATCATATCAGGCATCTTCTCCAACAACAATAGTATGAAACTACAAATTAATTACAAGAAAAAGCCTGAAACACAGAAACACATTGAGGCTAAATAACATGCTACTAAACAATGAATTGGTTAACAACAAGATCAAGAAAGAAATCAAAAGATACCCTGAGACAAATGAAAATGATAACACAACAATCCAAAATCTATGGGACACTGCAAAAGCAGTCCTAAGAGGGAAATTCATGGCAATACAGGCCTACTTCAAGAAACAAGAAAATTTTCAAATAAACAATCTAACCTTATACCTAAAGGAACTTAAAAAAGCAAAAAACAACAACAACAAATTTCAAAGTGAGTAGAAGGAAGAAAATAATAAAGATCAGAGTGGAAACAAATGAAAGAGTCTAAATTAAAAATTACAAAAGCTCAATGAAACAACAACAAAAAAAGATAAATGAAACCAAGAGTTGGTTCGTTGGAGAGATAAACATGATAAGAAGATTAATAAATCTTCAACAGGACGAGAGAGAGAGAGAGAGAGAGAGAGAGAGCTCAAATAAAATCAGAAATGACACCACAGAAATACAAAGGATTATATTATATGTCAACAACTGGATAATCTGGGAGAAATGGACAAATTCTTAGAAACATACAATCTTCAAAGACTGAATCAAGAAGAAACAGGAAATCTGAACAGACCTATTTCAACTAATGAAATTTAAACAATTGTCATAAACTCCCAAACCAAAAAAAAAAAAAAAAAAAAATCCTGGACTGGATGGCTTCACAGGTGAATTTTACCAAACATTCAAAGAAGAATTAACACCTATCCTTCTTAAACTATCTCAAAAAATTCAAGAGGAGGGAAGATTCCCAATCTCATTTTATGAGGCCAGCATTATACTGATTCTAAAACCAGATAAAGACACTACCAAGAAAGAAAATTATAGGCCAATATTCCTGATGGATACAGATGCAGAAATCAACAAAATATTAGCAAACTGAATTCAGCGATATATTAAAAAGATCATACCACAAGTTGATGTTTCTCTCTCCCACCTCATTGCTCTTTCTCTCTAAAATCAATAAACCCAATTTTTTATATCATACACCATGATCAAGTGGGTTCATTCTTGGGACGCATATCAATCAATATATTACAACACATAAACAAAATGAAGGATAAAATTCATATGATCATGTCAATAGATGAAGAAAAAGAAATTCACACGATCCAGCACCCACGTATGATAAAAACTCTCAACAAAGTGGGAATGGAACATACCTGAACATAATAAAGGCCATCTATGACACACCCACAGCTAACAGCATACTCAATGGGGGGAAACTAAAAGCGTTTCACTTAAGATTAGGAAGTACACAGGGATGTCCACTTTCACCACTCTTACTCAACATAGTACTGGAAATCCTAGCCACAGCAATGAGATAAGAAAAAGAAATAAAACGTATCCAAATTGGAAAAGAAGAAATGAAACTGCCTTTATTTGCAGATGACAGGATACTAGATAGAGAGAACTCTTAAGATTCCACAACTACTAGTATTGATAAACTGATTCAGTAGAGTAGCAGGATACAAAATATTTAGAATTTGGTTGCATTTTTATACACCAACAATGAACTAACAGAAAGAGAGACTAAGAAAACATTCCCATCAAAAATAAAATAAAATACAATACCTAGGAATAAGTCTAATCAAGGCAGTAAAAATCTTTTACTCAAAAAATTATAAGACACTGAAGAAAGAAATTGAGAATGATACAAATAAATGGAAGCATATACCATGTTCATGAATAGGGAGAATTAACATCATCAATATGTCCATACTACCCAAAGCAATCAATAGATTCAATGCACCTCCAATGAGAATACCAATAGCATTTTTCACAGAACTATAATAAATAATCCAAAAACTTATATTGAACTACAAAAGACTCCAAATAGCCAGAGCAATCTTGAGAAAGAAGAACAAAGTTGGAGGCATTATGCTATCTAATACCAAACTATACTTCAAGGTATAATAATGAAAACAGCATGGTACTGGCATAAAAACAGACACATAGATCAGTGGAACAGAACAGAGAGCCCCATGCCTATATGGTCAATTAATATATGACAACAGAGGCAAGAACATACAATGGGGTAAAGACAGTCTATTCAATGAATGGTGCTGGGAAAATTGGACAGATACATTTAAAAAATAAAACTAAGCCCTAACCAGTTTGGCTCAGTGGATAGAGCATCGGCCTGCGGACTGAAAGGTCCCAATTCCGGTCAAGGGCATGTACCTTGGTTGCGGGCACATCCCCAGTGGGAGGTGTGCAGGAGGCGGCTGATCGATGTTTCTCTCTCATAGATGTTTCTAACTCTCTATTCCTCTCTCTTCCTCTTTGTAAAAATCAATAAAATATATTTAAAAAGTAAATAAAACTAAACCACATTCTTACACCATACACAAGAATAAACTCAAAATGAATTAAAGACTTATATGTAAGATTTGAAAACATAAAACTCCCAGAAGAAAACATAGGCAGTAAAATCTATGACGTTTTTCTTAGCAATATTTTTTCTGACATACCCTTTACGTATCCATATATTGTGAAATGATTGTCACAGTAAGTCTACTTATATCACCATACATAGTTACAATTTTGCTTTCTTGTGATTAGAACTTTTAAGGTCTATTCTCTTAGCAACTTTCAAATATATAATACAGTATTGTTAACTATATTGTACATTATATCCTCAAGCTATACATTATAGCCTCATGATTTATTTAGTTTATAACTAGAAGTTTGTACCTTTTGACCCCCTTCACCCATTTCATGCTCCACCCCTACCCCAGAAGCAAAATATCTTTTCAAATTGGACTTAAATAATACAACCACAGGGAAAAACAATAAATTGGACATTAAAATGAAAAACTTCTGTTCATCAAAAGACATTATTACGAGAGTGAAAAGGCAATCTTTTGAGAGAAAAGAAAGATATTTCAAAATTACATAGCCAATAAATATCTCACATTCAGAATATTTAAGAACTCTTACAAACTAGTAAGAGAGAAAATCTATTAGAAAAATGGGTGGAAGAATTGAACAGACACTTCACAAAAAGGACCTCCAAATGGCCAACAGACATATGAAAATATGCAGAAGGCATTAGTCATCAGTGAAATGCAAATTCAAACCTCAGTGCAGCCCGGCAGGTGCAGCTCAGTGGTTGAGCCTCAACCTATGAACCAGGTCACGGTTCGATTCCCAGTCAGAGCGTATGCCAGGGTTGGGGGCACGGTTCCCAGTGTGGGGCGTGCAGGAGGCAGCCGATCAATGATTCTCTCTCCTCATTGATGTTTCTATCTCTCTCTCCCCCTCTCCCTTCCTCTTTGAAATCAATAAAAATATATTAAGAAAACGAAAACACCCTCAAAGCAACCCCACTACCCACACACGGAGCAAAATGGCTTCTATGGAAGAGAGACAATAGCAAGTACTGGTAGGGATGTGGAGGAAGAGGAACTCGCAGGCTGCAGGGAGACATGTAAATTGGCGGGAGCAGACTGACAAACAGTTTGGCACCATATAGAAAGCTGACACCGTACACACCCAGCACCTTCACTCTAGGAACAAGCCCAGCATAAGTGCTTACACCGAAAGACAAACACAAGAATTCTTCGCAGCACTATTTACAATAACCCCAAACGGGGGGAGGGGGGGAACCCCAAAACCAAAACCCATGTCCATCAATCCAAGTGTCGGGTGGCATGTAAAAATAAACTGTGGTCTGTTTGTACAGTGCAGCATTACACATCAATGAGAAGCAACGCCTGCCACAGGAAGCGTGGGTGACTCTCACATGCCATGCACCAAAAGGACAGGACGTGGGATTCCAGTTACCAAAAGTTCAAAAGCAAGTGAAACTACTTTCTGGGGTTGGCAGGCAGGTCAGTGGTGGTGCCGGGCGGAAGTAGAGATTGGAAGCGGGTGTGGGAGGCCCCTGGAGAGCGAGCACTATTTATTTGTTCTGGATGCAGGTTGCACAGGAAAAGTTCAGGGTGGAAACTGGGTAAGACGGACGCTTACGACTTGTGCAATTTTTCAAAAGCTTGGAAAACAATTAGACGCGATTTCCTGGGACGGTGGGTGATTCCGGACCCTGGGTGCCCCCTGGGTGAGCTGCAGAGCTCCCCCTCCCGAAGGGTGGGCTTTGATTTCTAATTTCCAGGAGGAGGGCGGAATCTGTCCAGGTCAATGGTGTCGCTAGCACTTTCCGCGGTGCCCGCCCATGGCAGATGTTGGTTGAATGACTCTGGAGGGAATGCCTGACAGGTCGCTGCCCTAAGAAAGCCACGTTCCTGCTGGAACGCGGCCATAAAGGCCGTGGGGAGAGCAGAGGGAGAGGCTGCGGAGTCAGAGGGAGAAGCCACCGCCCAGCAGGGCGGGCTCCCTGGACCAGCCTCTCGGCGACGGGATGGTGAGTGACAGCCGCCCCGGAGGCCCTTTTCATGCCGCGTCCGCTCCCGCTCGGGGTGCCCGAGGCAGCAGGTAGAGGGGCTGGAGGGAGGGAGGCGCTGGCTCTG